GACGTCCCAAAAAATTTTTTTTTTTTTTTTTTTTTTTTTTTTTTTTGAAGAGGGGGAGGAGGAAGAAGGAAGGAGACGGTGGGGAAGGTTTGGCTTGGCTAGACTGCGAGTGTTATGCAGCACTATTGAAATCGCGCTCCTAGGTACCTGTCCCAGGCTGAGCTCATGCGTATCGAGCTGACGCTCCAGGGGGAAGCTATTTGAGACAGAAATTACCTCATGCTATTCCCGACCGGCTCCTGGTATTAATTCCAGTGACCTCTACAGTAATATGGATATGCAACTATCTCCGATCAAGGTATTTGTGTGTGTGTGTGTGTGCGTGTGTATTTCCTCCAGTTCTTATTTTAAGGGGACTTGAGTGCACAAATAATGCAAGTTTTGCCTCAGTTGCCGTCTTGGGGCTGGGCAGTCTCTCCTCCTGCTTTGCGGCGCTGGGAGCTTTTGCTCATTGCTTTAATTATTTATCATTTTTATTGTCGATATCCTCCCCCAATCAGCTCCAACGAAAGAGATCGCGGGCTCGGTGCCGTCATAGCAGCAACAAGAAAGGGAGGATGTCGGTGCTCCCGATCTGCTCCTTGTCTCCTTAAGTGGGTGCTATCCCCCTATTGCCCCCCGCGCTCCCGCCGTCCCTCCCGGGTTGCCCTGGGGGGTTGCTCAGGGGGTTGCCCTGAGCTTTCCGCCGTCCTCCTCGCGTTTCTTTAGCCGAGGGGAAGAGGTGGCCGAGGGTCTTAGGGGGCGCAGGGCGAGCCCTGTTTGCCACCAGCAACTTCGCGCTGGGCTCCGGGGCCGGACGAGCTGCAGCGGCCGCCGGGGTCGGTACCGGGGCCGCTGCCGGCTCCTCTCGGGCAGCTCCGCGGGTCCCGGCGGGTGCACAAGGAAGGGGAAACCCCGGCGGCCCCCTGGGATTTCCTTGCCCGGGTAGGAGGGCGAGGGCCCGCGGGGAGTGTTCGCGGCCGCCGGCGCGGAGCAGCGCTCCCCCAGCGCGGGGCGTGTGTTTTGTTGCGGGAATCCTGAATGTCGGCGAGGGAATGCACAGCACAGTGAAAAAAAATAATAAAAAATCCCAAGTAATAAAAATCGACCGCTGACCCAAAGTGCATGCAAATCCGACATTGGCATTTTGGAGTTTGCAAGCTTCTGACCTCTGGGACCGGGGATTCATTAAAAGAGTCTTAGGTTTTCATTGAGGGGAACCCAAGCGCATTAAAGCTGACCGTTCGGCGGGGGGGGGGGCAGGGTCACCCGCGGGCCCCACTACAAAGCGCGGCGGGGGCGCGGGGGGGCAGGAGGCAGGAAAGAGGAGCTCGCCGGAGCGCAGAACAATAGGGGGCTCCCTAAGAGGGAGGAACGCCGCGGTGATGGGCGACGGTCGCGAGGAACGCGGCGCGCTGGGCGCCCCTGCGCGGGCGCGGAGCGGGGCCCCCCGCGGGCAGCGCAGCGCTCCGCGCACCGACCGCTCCTCCGGTGCCGCCTGCATCGGCCGGGCGGGAGGAGGGCAGGGTGAAAACCCAGAACAAGAGCGAAAAGGCTCTCCGGGCTGCCTGGGGAAAGCCGCTTGATGGTCGCTTGCTGCAGGAGAGGCGAAACCAGCTCTTACGGTGTTGCATTCATGCTGTTTATTCAGCTGTGAGACCAGAGAAGGGCAGGGTTGATGCTGTTTCCCACTGAAAAATGTAAGCTTCTATTAGCCTAACCGTTGCTGAAGGACCTGAGCTGTTTTAGCAGGGTAGCTAGTCTGGCAGACGGATATTTTGGGAGATGGTAGAAAGTGAAGGCAGGAGCTCCAGTGTATTTGAAAAGCGGCTGATGAGTCTGAGTGGAAATATTTCACACTAGGACAAAATAGTTCCTGTAAACAAGATGCTAAGGGTGACTTGCCTTGAAGTCCTGTTTTTTTCTGTATAGGAGGCTGCCCAGCTGCAAGGGCACAGCAGATGATTACAGAAAAGCTGAGGTAGATAGGGCAACTTATGTGAGTGAAGAAACTCTCTCCAGGTTAGGAGTTGTGATGTCAAGGCCTAAGGTTTTCTAGATTCCCTTCCGTTGTCAGCAAAACACGTTAATCTTCTGTATGTTTCAAGTTATTGTGTCCAAGTGGCAACTATTTACCTATTCAACTGAGCTATTTGTTCATCGCTGAATGTTGTGGATGAAAAAGAGACAGCTTTTAAGTATGGTAAAATGAATATTAGCAAGATGCAATCTTTATATGATAGTCTTGAAATATGATATCAGCAGTAAGAATTGAGAATATAGACATTTTTGCGTTTTTTTTCCACCCAGAAGTTATGAATGGAAGTTGCTGTTTTTTTGTCCCAGTTCGATGAAACCAGACCACTTTTGTGTTATGTGGACAATCTGACTGATGTTTGAAAAAAAAAAAAAGTGTCTGGGCTGGCAACTTCAGTTAAAAATGTTCCATGAAGTTCAGTGAACAGATTTTCCTGTTTGCAGTGCAGAGAATGCTATTTTCTCCTGCAGCTGTCTGCAATCATAAGATTCTTTTTAACAATATTTCCAGGTGAATGTGCCGAATCTTCCAATAATTTCAGCTATGAGTTTACTGTTAACTGAAGATTGCTCTTTCAGGAGTTTTGCTACCAAAATAAAGATTTATATAGCACTTTCAGCCCATTATTTAGAGTTCATTAACATGCAGACCTCCCATAATGAGGCCATCTCCCAGTGGAGTAAGTCTGTGGCTGGAATCATAGCTGGATTTGGTGCGTGCTGAGACGTCCAACCCTGCAGTGTCGTGCTAAGGTACCAAACCTTGAGTACCAACTGACTTCTAGGGCTCAGTGCTTGTTAAAGGGAGAAATTTAAGAAGCAAATGGTTCATCCAGAGAGAATTTTCCATTGCTTCTGTCTTGCAGCATCCCATCTCCTGAGGTCTAAAATTAAAGCTATTTTACAACAGAACGAGTGGAGCAATGTGCTGAAATCCTTATTTTAAAAATAGTAGTATGCTCTGATAGTACAAGGTATTTTTAGTGAATTTAAACCAAGAAAGGCGTATATTTCAAGGTGACTAGAAGCGAGTCTTGGTGCTGCACTTCTTGAACTTGTAAGACCCTGTGCCTGGGAAATGTGTGAATTTCTTCTGTGAAGTTTTATGTCTAGTGAGCCCTAGCTGCTACAGTGGGAAAGCTGTAGCTTGAGAATGCATTTGCATTAATTCAGACTTTTATGATCAATTTGGAAAGGATAGTGTTTTCGTTTGAAATAAATCTCTGAACATGAGGAAATATCATTCTGACTTTATAGCCTGGAAGCCCATGCTTTTTTACTAAAATTCATTGAAAAAAATGGAATTCATCTAGATCAGATGCTTTCTACTTAGCTACAGAGGCTTACAGCATTCTGTAACAGTTAGTATATAAAAAGTGTGACATGAATAAATTAGATAGTATAATAAAAGCTTTTATTTCTTAGGTAACATCAAAAGACTAAAAGGTCTTAAATTTTTAAAAAGGGCACTTTACAATTTTCCTTCCATTTTATAGACAAGTGGCGAACACTGGGAACAAGAAATCATGTACTTATTTCAGGAAATTATACAAGCTGAGGCAGAACAATTAATGATTTGTAGACTGAAATACTGAAAAATGCTTATTCTGAATTCATTCAGGTTTTAACCTGTTCCAGATAAGGTTTTGGACTCCAGCTCACTTTAAATTTTTCAAGCTTGTTTGGAACTTAGGTCTCAATAGTTGAATACATCACTTCTTGCTTATACAAAGAGCAATGGTTGCTTTATTTTCTGGGTATTCTTTGGCTGTAAGAAATTGAACCAAGGCTGAGCAAGAGAAAAGCAGCATTTTTCCCTTCATGAATATTTTCACATTTTCAGTGGTGCAATCTTGTTCCCTAAGTCTCCATAGAGTGTTGAATAAGAGCAGTCTTATCTTTATTGCCTCAAAGAAATGGTTCCTGTATGGGTTGTAGTAGAGTATAGAGTAGTGCGTAGACTAATGAGTTGATGGTTTATTATGGGACCAAAAAGGAAATCCCATCTGTGTATGTTTTAGATGCAGATACACTTTTGCTCTTTGCTGTTGTGATCTCTTTTCTGTGTTTTTCTACTATGGAAATTAAGATAAATGCCAGCTGTGGCTGGCTGATAACTAAGACAATCTTTTCTCTATGGTGTGGGCCATAGAATCATCCATAAGAGCCATCTTAAGGAATCAGATCAAGTCACTGGGAGCTAGTGACGACAGTCAAGTTCCTGCATTTGTAACTGATGATAAGTTCTGAATTGGTGCCTTTAAAACCACTATAAGCTCTCGGAGCTGACGTCTGTGCTCCCCATGTGCTCATAAGGAACTGAAGGAGAATGATAGGAATGCGACATAAGGCAGCACAGAGTTTGTTCATTTAGATTCATCCCCAAGAAAAATTCCAGCAAAACAAAATATTAAGAGACACCGAAAGTCTGGTGCTCTGCTATTCCAAATTGCAAGGCTTTTATTCACACCAACTAAACATGTTTTGTTTTTGAGTCTTTGTTTTGTTACAAGATCACAGTGAGATAATGTTTCATAAGTAGAAGACTCTCTGTTCTGAGTATTTTTCTTGGGCCTTCAAATACCCATTATTTAAGAATTCTTAGGTTTTGTGAACTTAGTATTATCATTTTGGGAAAATGATGTAACAAAATAAGAACAAGATGATTGGTTTAAAGTCTTATCAAACCATACTTTGAGATTTGTTACCACAGGACATACGAAAATCTTGTGAAAAATATTTTTAAATGTCTTTGAAAATAAGTTTAAATGTATCCTTGTTTTCCCTCTGATTTGATTATTTATATGCCGGAAACCAATCAGTTACCTTGAGACAAAATATTTCTCTGCAGATGACCCAGATTTAGGGCATAGGCAATGATGAGAAGTTGACACTTGTTCAATACGATTACTTTCAGCATCAATTTTAGACTTTTCTTTCAGAAAAAAGATCAGATGAATTGACCCTACAAAGATGCTTGTTCTCCATAGCCTACAACAGATTCCTTGAGAGACTGGCTGAGGTGCAGTTTCTTACAGTGTATATATCTAATATAAGAAGAAATTAAGTCTCTCTCCCTCCTCCTCAGAGATCTAAAAATCTAATCGGATATGGGATTTTGTTAAATATTGAAATAAATAAATCCCACTCACTTTAGAAACAAAAAACAGAGCAATGGGGTAATATGGAAATACTTAGGACAGGGTCAGTCAGGTATTTGGATATCTATGAAGAAATCCTGGCCTTATTAAAACTCTTGGGATTTTCCAGATGTCAAAGAGGCTACAGAATTATTCTTATTTTATGTGATCCAAATGCAAGCACAGAACAGAGATATTGTTAATGTTGGATCTCAGAATAAGTAAAATGGTCAGAAAAGGAATACTGTATATATAGGTGTTTTCTTGGTAGACCACATTGTGCTTTCTTTGCTTAAGAAAGCATTTACTGTTTCAATTCATTTGGATATTAAACTAAAATAAGTTCTAGATAATTTCAAAAATTTAATTACTTTTGAAGTTCTTGCCCTGAAAAAACTGAAGAGCATATTAAAGTTTAGGAATTCTGATTATTCCATTGTCATGAATGGAACTTGCCAGTGGGAGTAGGTGTAATCGCAATTCTGTAAGTTGGAATAGAATATATTGCTGTATCATTATATATATACGTATATAAACAACATGTTTGGATCAATGCTCTTACTAGATGTCATGTTGGATGATGTAAAAATAAACGCAAGTTACTGGTCTGGCTCTGAACATTAAGCTAAGTTTACTTACCTTGATTTTGCTTTTCCTCTGCTGTCATCATCAATTCTCAGCTTGTAGTACAGTGCAGCCAGGTGTTCAAATTCACAGAAGGCCAAGAATTACTCTCTTACGGAATGTGGAAAGTAAAACCTAGGCAATGTAATTTATATTCAAAAGTAAATACATTGTGTGACAGACAAAAAACTGCTGAACTAAACAGTGTTTCTCATTTTATTTCAGAAGAACCTCCACTGCAGGGTAAAATACAAGGACATGAGCTACTGATCTCCTCCTAGCATCAGGATCAGAGAAACGACCTTACACTTTGCCATCAATTAAATGCAGTTGAAAACCACCTCTCCAAAAAGCTGATCAATTCACAACATCAGCAGACATCTTTTGTAAAACACATTTTGTGTACTTCCGCCGAGATATTTTTTCTACCTGCCGCATGGTTCTATACTACTTACTGGGCACTGATGGTAGCCTCCAGAAAGTGCAGCTTCAAATGGTCAACTTCACCCTTTAGCAAGAAGAAAACCTGGATACTGGATAGCAACAACGCCTTCAGAGAAAATGATATACGACAGAAAGCGATTAGTTTCCTGCCATTGTTTCTTCCTGTTAACAGCCAAATTCTATTGGATACTCACCATGATGCAAAGAACTCATTGCCAGGAATATGCCCACTCCATCCGACTGGATGGGGACATCATTTTGGGAGGACTGTTCCCTGTCCATGCAAAAGGGGATAGAGGGGTGCCTTGTGGGGAGCTCAAGAAGGAGAAAGGGATCCACAGACTAGAGGCAATGCTGTATGCAATCGATCAGATTAATAAAGATCCTGATCTTCTAACCAATATCACTTTAGGTGTTCGGATCCTCGATACGTGTTCCAGGGACACTTATGCTTTGGAGCAATCTTTAACATTTGTGCAAGCATTGATAGAAAAAGATGGTTCAGATGTGAAGTGTGCTAATGGTGACCCACCTATTTTCACGAAGCCAGACAAGATATCAGGTGTGATAGGTGCTGCAGCAAGTTCTGTGTCCATTATGGTGGCTAATATTTTAAGACTTTTTAAGGTAAGGAACACTTTTTACTCCTCATTTAAATTTTAAGGAGAATAAAAGCACATGATTGTGTATTAATGCTTTCAAGGAAGGAAGGACAGAAATTTGAAATGACTGATTTGCCCTTTAGAAGTTAAAAAAGAAAAAGCAATGACTGCATACCCTAGTTTAACGTGCCAAATGCTGCTTTTGAAGTTCTGAGCAACCAGAGCGAAATGTGCACACATTTTAATTCTTTAGGGTGCTTTATTCTTTTTTTTTTTCTGTTACTTAAATTTTCTTCATATTACGTGTTTATGCTCATCAAGACCAGGTTGAAATTTATTATTTCACACATTTTTAGGGGAATGCAATAGAAGGTTTAAATAAAATCCATTTGTAGGAGGAACAGATAATTTCCCTAAGTAGGAAGAAAGGCTGGCAATAATCTAGTGTTATTGATGTGCATGTCTAGCCAAATGAAGTGTACTGAAATATCTTTGATTTCCTTGAAATCTTAACCTCCTCCATCATTTTCACAAGGTGATTTTTTTTTTCCAGACTTTGTTATTACTTTGTGAGAGATTACTTTTGGACAGTAGTTCTACTGGCATATTGTTCATTTCCTTATGTGTACTTTATTAAGTTCTGCTCCTATAAATGCTGGAAAAGTAAGCCTCCGCTCTTAAACTCACCAGGCTAGGTGGGAAGATGAACACATTCTAATCAATCAACTTACCTGGCACAGATCAGGCAACTAACATTTAATTTTCAATTCTATGAAATGGTAAATAGATCATGGTAAGATGAGCACACTTTTTCAATGCACAAAATGGCCGTAGCATTTCATTTGAATATATTACTGTCCTATTACTGCCTACTGTTATAGATTGGCCCCTTCCATTCAAAAATCTTTTCTTATGTCCTGGTAACCTCATAATCACTGAAAGTCATGTAAAAGGCTGTTTCTTTGTCTTTAGTGAAGAGGATTCTGATATTCTTAAATATTGCTGTTACATATTTTGAAAATGGTTGCACTTGCCAAGCTGTTGTGCCTGAGAGATTGCACAGAAGCAAGAAAAGATGGTCCTTTTGGAAGATTTCTCAATCTGGAAAAGAGTATTTTGGTCATTCATACTGTCTGTCCTTCCTGTCTGGTTCTCTCATGAAGGACATAATCATGTTGTATAATTCAGTGGAGGAATGAAGTGTCTGCTGGGCTGTGGTGAGATGTTTGCTACAACATAACTGAGCCTTGGTCATATTTACTGCACACATTTGCTGCACACATTTGAGAGTCATGGACTTGGACTAGCCATGTGCTTTGCTTGTGAAAGTCAAGTAAGCAAAACTAAATTGAGATTTAGGAATATTGAATATGGAGAGCACTGTTGGAGCCACAGCTAGGGGAGAAAGGGAGGGCTGTCCTTCTTGGGAGTAACCATGCATGCTGCAGGACACATCTATTTTTAATTTAACATCCTTTTTCAACGCTGTGTTACTCTATTAAATAATGCATTGCTCTAAGTAGTGATAGATGGAATGGTCACTTTAATGCCCATCATAGTGCAGAATCACATAGAATACCACTTCCAGCTTTGAGTTGAATGCAGTGTAGTAGACTGATTTAAGAAACTAAGCCCCATAAGGCATGCATTAACTGTGAATTAAGAGCAGCAAGAAGGAAAGAGGCCTATGAATTGTCTAAGATACCAGCAATTTGTCTTCTGAAACCATGACAGCTACCTCCTGATTTCCATTATGCAATAAGATTGCAAATAACATTCTACTGCAGTCTTAATCAATAGAGGGCCACGTGATATCCCCTCTGGGGAAAGATCTTATTTACCCATTTAATTGATGTAACACAGCTGCTGGCAAAAAGAGGAGACATCTCTTTTAGTTTTAATTATAGATCCTGCACACATATTCTTAATAATGTAAAAAAATGACAAATGATGCCCTTTAATGTCTCATATTGGACCAGCAGCTGAAGTCCGTTTTTTTCACCTTCCCTCAGGAGTAGCTTTGTTCCCGATGGGGGGATTCGTTGCATGTGTGAAGGCTTCTGGTTGGCCCCATTTTAGCAGCATTATAGAAACCATGCACAATGACTTTAAGCAAGCACAATAGGAAATAGAGGATCATCTGTCAGAAATGTAGAAGTACAATCTGGTTGCGTGTCACCAAAGAAGACATGGGCTGAGGTTCTCAACTGAGAGCCCCACAGGGCTGTGTGATGGAGGACCAGAACCATGGTACATGCTCACAGAAGTTCCTAGGATGGAATCAGTGTTGAGTGAGCCTGAGTGTCCAGGCTGGGCACTCAGCTGGTATAAACACCTGTAATTTAATTAGTGCTGATGATAACCATCATGCAAACACCTATTCCCATTATTATCAGGATGAATGCAATTCATCCATATGACTAGCAATTGTATTCATCAAGATGACCCTGTAATTTGAAATTCAGTATTGCTTTAATATCTGCTCTGAAGTTCCTAAATGTCAGGACTGCATATTTCTTGACAACATTGTTACCTAGTGAAATTTTAATCTCTGATGAAATTGCGAGAAATATATCATTCAATGTGATTACATACAAAAAACCAGCCTGAGAAATATTATGCTCAGCAGCTGGTATTTTTATGATGCTATTTTTCTTTTCCATTTTTTTTTCTTTCTCTTATCGATTCTGCAATGTAAAACACACTGGTCAATAGCCCTATCTGATGATCTACTGGATAGCAAAAACTGATTGATATTCTTGGTATCCTTATATCTAAGTCTGTTTTCATGAGAAGGGGGGAAGAGAGAGTATCACAGAAAATATTCTTGATCTATAGCCAAACAGCTCACCTTGAATTCTCTGACCTTTTCTTTTTGGGCATGTCTAAGCACCACTTAACAGGTAACTTTCTGCCTTTAGTAGTTGCAAGACATTAAGGGGCAAATTTAGATAGCCTAAATTTCACCTGTTGATGTTTTCAGACCTTTCAGAGGCACTTTGCAAACAGGAATGAATTGTTCAGGGAATTAGCTTGTGGACTGGTTATTCTTTTACATATGATAACACGGAGGTTGCTTACAATACTCTGAATTTTGATGAAAAGAATAGTGTGTGAAGCATGTTTATTAAGCTTTCAGAACTTGTAGGCAATCTTGCTGCAAATATAGTGGAATAAAGAAAGGACCTTCAGAAGCAAAAAAAAAAAAATTACGGCACAAGATATACGCACAATAAATACTTGCTTAAGCAGTTCTGCTTGGATCTCAGGACAGATTGTCCTCAGCTGAAGCTGCTGGTGTATCATTTTATGGAGTTGTTTTTAGCAGAGCACCTCAAGGGTGGGCTGTTCCACAAGGGAAACTTAAGTCAGGAGCAGAGGGTGACAGTGAGGAAGGGCAATGGTCTCATGAGTGGGAGTCTCATAGCATCCAAATGAGAAGACCAAAGCAGGTTTGGGCGCAGTAGCCAGGCTCAGCTGGAAGGCCAGTGATTGCCAGCCAAGACCCTGGTAATGCACAGGCCTGAGGCCAGCTAGGAAGGCACGTCAACAAGGCAAGGTCAGACTTTGTGAAGACCAGCAATACAGCTTTGCTAGAGCTAAAATGCAGTGGTCTGAGTGAAGGGAAAAGGGCAGTCTGACATTGTTTTAGTGTTTCCCATATGAAGTTACTGTAGAAATAGAGTAGGCAAGTTTGGACCCACTTAGTTCCATTTTTCTGGTGAATGAGGAACTATTCTTTCCTCTGCTTAATGGAGGGTTAGGTCACTGATTTTCCAGCCTGGAAAGTTGGCTGCCAAGCTGGCTCCTGTTTGCCTTGTAGACTGAGTCAGAGACCAGATGTCCCTGTTGGCCAACAGTCAGTAGTCAAGAGGGAATGCCTCTTTCAACTGGATTATTCAGGAGAAATTTCCTGCATTCCTCTCTTTCTCTGGCTTTGTCTTTCTGAAATTTTGGCTCCCACTATGGCACAAAGGTAGGGTCCAGTGATGCCCTTTAGTGTCTTTGTGTGAAGCCCGTAAATGCTTGGGCTGTTCTCAGCCCCTTCAAACTCAGTTTAGGGGAAACGAGAGATGCTGTAACTCTTAACATATTGCGTTCCTTCTATTCAGGGAAGGAACTTATTAAAATGTCTGACTAACTCTATTTAATGGTTAATGTCTGCTGGAACAGAGTGAGACATTTGTTTATGCTTGTTTCTTCCCGTCTAAAAACCTCACGCTATTCCTGAACTCCTTGGTACACTCCATCTGTCACCTTCACACATCTTCTAGCCAGTGTCACACTGGGAGCAGCCTAGGGACGATGGCTTGCATGCGAATCAAGACGGGTGGACAATATGCTCGGTGAACTGTGACGTTAAGCTTTTATATATATATTCATATATATATACACACACACACACACACATATATATACACACATATATAATATATGTAAAATATATACAACAGATTATGTATTCAATAAACAAATATACAAATATATAAATATATGTGTATATAAAACCAAAAAATTCCTTCGCAATTTTGTCCTTCCCTCTCTTCCTTTCCCTTCCCTAGACTAATACGTACTTTGTGTATTTTTGTGTTATACATCTAATATGCATTTACCTTTTCAGAAGCACATAGTATGAATGACATTCTGTAGTTTCTTTTTTGACTCTATGTGCAACCATCTCAAATGCAAAGAACAGTTTCTTTAAGCAAATGTAGAAGTGAATATATCAGTTCCCCAAGCATTTTGTCTATTATTTGCTTTGATTCTTCATTTGCCTTGCCTTGTTTTTAATGGATACCTTCAGCTGGCAGCCAGCAGCGCAGTAGCTGGATGATGGTTTTTTTTGGGTTCAGTGGCATGTCTTTTCACCTTTAGCTGGCACAGGGCTCTGTTACTGGGATGCATTCCAGATCTTCTAAGAACATCAGAGAGGCTCCTAGAAACAAAAGAGGGGAGCACAGGGATTACTGCTGTACTGAGCCTATCCTAATTGAGCCTCATAAATGCAGGACTTTCTACTCAGTT